TAAAATCTAATGACAGAAATATAATCTTACCTTTGAAATCACTTGCTTCTTCAATTTGGTAAGAATATTTTATTGACAAGTAAACATGGGGATGAGAAAGTATTTATTATTTTAAGAAAAATTATCAGCGGAATTATGCATATCTTTTACCTTCTAATCCATCAAGTATAAATCTGAAAGCAATGAACAAGTGAAAATAAATACAAATTAAGAAGCTCCTAATACTTTAAACTACATTTATATTTCCCAATTAATTAGAAAAAGTGGACCTACAACACAATCAGATAATGTATGACTAAATCATACATGAATACATAATTTACATAAAATAAATGGTAGGAACCTACTCCTTCATAAATTTATGATTATACGCTAACACTGAAGATATGTCAGTACTTGACTATATTACTACCACTGCTATAAGCCTCTACGTTATTACTTTTCATTTTTCATTTCAAACTACCTCAAAACACCTGAGCAATGCAAAGTACATATAAATCCCACATGGACTTTCTAAACCTCCACAAACAGACGGACACACACTGGAGACGGGCAGAGCAACACAGAAGGAGCAAAAAACAGTGGGGGAGAGAAGCTGAGGGAAAGGAAGAGAGCCAGAGGCATAGGGACAGTGTGGACAGAGAGGGTGACACGCAGAGTGAGCAGTGCAGCCACTGGGAGCACGAGAGTGGCAGATACTGGGAGAGAGATGAAGCAGAGCAGCAGGCAGAGATGGACCAAAGGAAAGCATGAGCGTGTGTACAGCAGGCATGGCAGGGATAGCGAAAGCAACAGCAGCAGGTAAGAGTGTGTGTGGCAGCGCACATGCAGCAGTGAGCAAGTGCGCTGCACACATGCAGTGGAGAGTGTGCACATAGGACACAGGGAGAGACAATGTGCAGGAGGGAACAAGAGCATGTGGCAGAGAAAGGTAAACAAAAAGAGTGGGAGACAGATGAGACAAAGTGAAAATTATCCACCTCAAACCCGCTTGGAAGAGAGAAAGCACATCACAAGTTGTAGTACCTTTCAAAATTAAGGGAGAGCTTAGTAATGGAAAATACAGATTTACCTACTCAAGTCCTCGGTTAGAATAAACTAAATTTTTCCTAATATGCAAGGGATTCCCAACAGTAAGGTCAATCTTACATTCCAAGTGAAAAGCAGCACACAAACAAATGCTTTCTACTAAGACCTATGAATACCAACATCTATAGATTTGTGTATATGTCCTTTTAAACCAGAACCCTGCTTGTAGTCTCATCTTTACATTTACTTTTTCATACACTGCATAAATGCATTAAACATTCACATCCTCATTAAAGTCACTTACAAAACTTGCCCATTTGGAAAAATGTGCAGTATCTCAAAGGGTAAAACGACATGATTGCTATAGCTTTGAAACACTCTCACCTGGTATTTATCAAGTATCAATCCTGTGAAAAAGCAACACAGGAAAAAAATTCATCTGTTAATATTGGTTGTCTTCCAAACCAACATCCAGAAGTCACACCATATCCTTTAACAAGCAGAGATTAGAGGAGGACAAGGCCCACCATGCTAAACAGTCACCAAAGCAAGCACCACAAACTAATAGGGCCAATTAATAAAATAAGCAAATGGAGAGTTTGAAGACAGAGGTCAAAATAGTTTCCATGACACAGAAAATGATTATTCTTTCCCTAAATGCTTATCTGTAAGCAGCTACCACGTGTGAACACCAGTCGCTGGCTGATCACAGTCATATGTGTGTCTTTCATACATGCAGCAGATACGATTCTGTCAAGCATGGCTAGTTTCTTGTTGCCACTGGTTTTCACCAACAATGACTTAATTGATCTGTTACTTCTGTGTATGAGAACATTTGGGACATGCTTCATAAACACAGTTTAAGGCAACCATACCTGGGTTTAAAGTACACCTCCGGTATCTCCTGTAAAACCACCCTGTAACAGTAGATATAGAACATAACCTTACACTGATTTGTATGTTGTTAGCCTCCCCCTGTTTGGAAATCAAGTACTTACACATCAAGTATACATTATACATCCTACTGCTATTGCAAAACTTGAAGCAATTTTAGGTATCAGACGAGAAGTTTCTTTCACAGAAGTTCTTACCCTTCTGCATCTAGAACTCCAAATACAAGAAATTTATCATGAGAGAATACCAATGCTTAATTATTTATACATGGGTTTAAAACTATCTTTATTTAGGAACTTTATGTATTGTTTTTTTAGATCAGATTGCTTGCGATGAGTCTTAATTACGTATTTGATGCGAAAGTACTTCAGACAATTCAGACTGATTCTTCTGAATAACCACTTTTTCTGTGAGCCAATAACATTCTTTCAGAAGAGAGTTAAGAGAACATTATCCTCTTCCTAAGGCTGTAGCATAGTTCGATTTTGTATTTTCTAAAGTCTTTATAACCTTTACTGGCTAATTTAAATACTAATCTGCCAAGCAAGACTACTAGTATTAGGAATCTCATGTTATTTTAGTTGCTCTTTTTCACCCTATATCCTGTAGTTATTGGAGGCTTTATGTATGGTTCCACTTTCTGTCTTCAGTGGGAACATTCAGGCATGGCCATAGCAGCACACCTTAAATCATGTTCTCACCGAGTTCACAGTCAAGCACCCTAGGTTCATCATGCCAATCTTCTTTGCACTTGTCTCCCATAAAGCAAGCATATTTCTCCCAGGAAACTTTCATATAGAAGTAACAGCAATCTAAAAATCCTGAGACTTTCCTGTTTTCTCAGTGACAAGGAATATAGCCCGTCAAGTAAATTCCATTCAAAAGGCCTTTAACAGCCACTTGCTTTCTGAAAAATTTGGAAGAAAAAATGTGCATGAACATAGAAATATACTTATTCCCCTCATATGATGATGAAGTGATACACACTGAACCAACAGTTATCAAGTTATTACGAATTACTGATTCCAGCCACCTAACTGTGAACTGGATTCATGAATAATAAAAATAAAACAATGCAATCTCTTCAGTACTCAAGAGTTCTGATACCCAGTGCTTCATCCCTATCATACTGTCTAAATTAGTATCTTAATTTTTACTTTTTTTTTAAAGAAACCACAAAACATCAACAAATCTAGACTTGGAAAAAAACTCCTTATGTCTAACACTTGCAGTTAATAAGGCCTTTAATTGAAATGCACTTGTCACAGACTATAAAATATATGTAGTAGTAGTGGTTAAAGAGACTGTGCATGCAAACAATTCCACTGGTTTTAATACGAGGTGTCCATAAAGTGATTGCTATATGCTTACCACATTCAGGACTGTAGGATTGCCCTTAATACAGTTTTACATACAGTGAAATTAAAATCAATTAGCTGACTCCCAGGTATAAAAAGGAAATTTTATAATATAATTTCTATAATGTAGTGAAAGTTATCAAACAGGCAGCATGTAACTAGAGACAAAAAGAGGAGAGGGGAGAGAAAAGGAACTGCATAGTGAGATAAGACTGTGAACCACTGATGTTGTTTATGTGTGTACACGGTAACCATGTGTAATAGGAGCTGTCAGGTGAACAAAAAGTGTGTTTACAATACTGCACCACCAGTAACCTACCCAGGGCATATATTACTGTGTGTTAGTTATACCAGACGCAATATGTACCAATGTGAAATACAAGTTTTTATACTTCTCTTTCTCTTCATCTCCTTAGAAAGAAAGAATAGGCGGTCTTCCAAATGCTCCTACAATCATTTTGAAGTCAAAAAAGAATGGGAGTTGGATCAGGACAAAAAAAGAAAAAAGGCAGCTACCACTGAATAGGCCACCAAATTAGAAAAGCAGCATTTAAAGGCTTGTGATTTCCAGGACAGCTTCTTTGAAAAGCTGCCACCTGTGGAACCTTTTGCACAGCCTTAAAACTGATCATCACTGTACTGTACTAGGTAACATTTGCAACTCTACTGTCTGCTAGAGACATACAGCTGGGTTAACTAAGGCTCAGTGACAAACGTCCAGTTTAGAATCTGCCTTTCTTGAACATTTAATTTTGTGACCCTGTTCCTGCAATTATATAGTGTATCTATGACACTTTACAATAAATTAAAAAGGATTACTATAGCAATATACGCACATTATGCAATATTTGCATTGTTTGACTTCTTTGCCTTTTACAATACTAGCTTTCCTCTCTCATTTGCACAGAAGACCACAATGAAAGAAGCATGTACTCACTCTGCTCTTCATTCTCTCATTGAGAAAACAAAATGTTCTGGCTTTAGCAATAATGTGTCACAAGAATAAAGTAATTCTGCACAGCTATAAAGATTAAGGGATAGTTTGTGTGTAAGAAGACGTAACAGACTTTAAATGCAATAAGGGGGCACTGCACAGAATCCATTTTCAGAGCTGAAAATATGTACATTTTCAGTTCTTTTATCTTTTTTTTTTCATTTCTCATTGTTTCCTCCTAAGGAAATTGGTATTTTCAATCAGACAAGTCTTTAAACCTACATGAACAAAATAAATAGCTTCCACATTTAAGTATTCCAAATAGCAATTTCTTTTAAATTAGGAATGCTCAAAAATCACTATTACTGCTAAAACTGAAAATGGAAAAAATCTGATACTGACCAAAAAGCAGCATAAAAATCCTTTTTTTCTTTCCCTCCCTCCCCCATTTTATTTGTCTGTTTAAATTCGGGGGGGGGGGGGGGGGGGGGAAGGGAAGGGGGAGTTGGGATATGGTGATAATAATTTTCAAATATAACATCCATGTTTTTTCATGGCCCTATTCCCATCGGTTATTTAACATTACATGTGCAAAATTAAAAGTTTGCATCATCTCTGAAATACCATATTCAAGAACATATATGGAAATTATTTCCCTTTCAACTGTTGACAGCAATAGTTTTGAAGGTTTTTTGTTCTCCACACATTCAGAGCAGCCCAGCTTCTTGTTCTAACTCAGATACAAAAAAACGAAGAAAAGAAACAGGATTATTTTAGATTCTAACCTGAAATGCCACAACCTCTGGCCTGCCCCTCAGCCCTTCCACTGCAAAGGTCTCTAGGTGCAGTTTGGGTAGCTGCAGGGTGAAGTCATTCCTGGTTGCCGCAGTCCGTGACAGCAAGGTCTGATCTCTGACCTGAAGGGAAAAAAACAGCATCAATGGTAATTCCCCTTCAGACACATTAACTGGGATGAACTGGGTCCCCTTGAGCCCACTGAGTGGACTTGCATTGATCGCTGGACCTGAAATCCATGAATAAATTTAGGACTAATTGATTTTTCGTTGCAAATAAATCTCTAATTCAGAGTGCTGGGAGAGAATGTTAAAAAGAAAAAGCATCTTCCCTGCTCTAAAAGGAGAAGGAAAGAAGAGATACTAAGGGCTCACAAGCACACCTGGTACATACATTTCACAGATCTGACCCCTGTAAAAAACTTGTAAAAAAAAGAAATAGTATTGGTACTACCAACACAAACAAACATCAGCTATAAAATTTAAAAGTTCATATGATCACACGAACACAAAGCGGGCACATGAGTTCTGTCTACTGTACGGAGATCATATCAGTCCTCTACAATATGGTTCATTTTATTACCAATTCAGTTAAACTCCAGATTAAAATGAATAATCCTCAAACAAAGCAAAAAAAAACGACCTGTAGCTTTGCAATTAAGGGAAGGAGAAAAAACAAAACAAATCAAAATTTAAAGAAAAAGAAAACAACCAAACAACAACAAAAAAAAAAAAAACACAAAAAAAAAAACCCAAACAAAAAACCCTATAAAATCCCAACCTGCTACTACATTGCTTATCGTGGGTTCAGTGTGAGAAATAATGCACTAATTGTTACTAATGGACTTTTACACAGGCTCTACCCATGCCCGTTCAGAACGGGCACAGAACCCGGTCACTCCGCTAGTTCTGCGGGTAGCCTGAAGGAAGGGAAGGAGGGAGCGACCCCCCCCGAACAGTGCCGGCGCCGGGCGCACTGACCCAGCCGAGCCCGTTGGTGTCACAGTGCCACCTCCCGGCCACGCGCGGCACCGCGGGTAAAGGGGACCTGCGCTCACCTGCAGAGCGGCAGCGGCGCCGAGGTGAAACTTCGCAACGGGAAGGGATTAACGCTGCTGTCCCTAAACACAATCACGCTTCCCGGTGTTGCACACGAGAAGAATATCGCTGTCGCTATATAAAAACCCAACGTTCTTCCACATATAACAACACGTGATTAGTCTATCGGCAGGCATGTGGATTTATACATACTTAGCACGTAACTTTCATGGACACGTAACTTACATTCATATGCCATATGCTGCCACACACCCATTTTTCATTATACTTAACACAAAAATTATCATATCTCCAGAAGATCCCAGCAGTCAGATTAGATTCGAATACACATGGACAGACACAAATCCACACAAGTATGTATTTGTACAAATGAATGGAGGAAATCCATTCACTTGGCATGGACCGTATCTGTTGAGTAGCAGTAGCCAATAGTGCAAAAATAATTTACTGTCTTTAACAACAAAATAAAGTCTGATACTAAATCATATACTGAATATATACTAAATACATATCAGTCAATAGGTACATTTACTAAATACTGTAAAATAAATTTCAGTTCTTCTTAGTGCCTCCCTCGCCCGAAAGAGCTTACCAAACATGAATTCAAACATATGGCCATTCATTCTAAATCCCAGACTACTTTTCTGTAACCACTTACAAAATTAGTTTTTTTGTAAAATGTTGATTATGAGTGAACATGCTTCAAATAACAGTGCAGCCTCTGAAATCAGCTCTGATTGAAAGAAGTATGCATGTGTAAATCTACTGATACAAAGAAAAAGAGGTTTTATTTTATTCGTTGCTCTGTTCTGTGGGAATAGGGAGCCCTACATTTCCCAGGTTGACCTAAAGAATTCCTGTCAATACCTGTGGCTGCCAAACATATGCACTATGATGCAATTTTTATAACAGGAAAGGTCTTCTACACGTTTTTGCACTCACAGTGCACTAGGTTCAGCATATACAGTCCTGTGGAACAAACATTGTCTCTAGAGTGTTCTGTCAGCATGTGTAATTCTGGTCAGATGTTAACCTTGCTGAATATAACAAAATGCATTACTTTAAATACACATATATATACACGCACATACACACACTTGATTTACATTTTTATAGGTTATATATCCCAGCTTTTCAGTGTCTTTGCTGCCAGTATGCACACAGATAAAAGAAAACATTAATGTGGATTAAGGTACTGAGAATTTATCAACATCAAACCACCAGTGTTTTGCCTTCTACCCTTCTGAACCATAGTCAATAGATCTAAATATTTTACTGCACCCTGGCCAATTCATTGTTTGATGTTTAAAAACTCACACAGAATCAAAGAAAATTTATTAAATTTCAGCCCCCAAATGAGATACTATTAGCTTTGAAAGTCAAGTTTAACTGCGATATTGATGATTCTCTTTTTTCTGTGACAAAATTCACAAGGGAAATCCTTATGTCAAAGCACAAAAGCAGATTGCTAATACTAGGGGGAAAAAAACAATGTATAAGCAATGTAGGTATAATACACACACAATACACACAGTGGAAGTCCTTTTAACCCTATTAATTTCAAACCCTCCATTTCAGTACTGGGGCCTGATACTCATTAAACAATGAAATACAAAAGTATTTTCTTATTTGGCTGAATTGTGGTAAACACGCGACATTAATACTACTGCACCAGAAAAGCACATATTAGCTCCTTAAAGAGAACGGTATTTGATATGAAAATTCACAACTAAAAAAAAAAAACTATCCCCAAACTTTCTGTGTTTGTAAATACTTAGAGCATAAAAAGTGAATCCCATTATCTACGTGCATACTGAGAAACAGAAACTGAAGCTAGAGCTTTCCTTTGAAAACCCTCACTAGGGTTCAGGAAAAAGTGCAAGAACAAAAAAGACTGGGCAGATGGTGTACAAATACCATTACATTGTTTCACTAACAGTGAAAACAGTCTTCAAGTTGACTACCTATTCGAGGAACGGAAAGCTATTAACAGCCATGCTTGTGCAGAATCAAGCTGGATAGGCCATACCTATATGAAAACCTAGTTAACTAATTTCATCACTTCCTGGCTATATGCTTTTTGAGCTGCAGAAACACAATGACAGGAGTTGGCAGACTCCGATTATTTCCTTATTTTCCAAGGAAGTCAGCACAGTACTCACACAAATTACGGAACTATCAGGCAAAAGTAAAACTGGTGGGTTTTTTGTTGTGGGTTTTTTGTTTGTTTGTTTTTTTAAAAAAGGGCTTTTTTTGGCTGCTTGAGAGGAAGAAAAAATATTCAGTGTAGTTAAGCTTTACAATACACATTTCACAGCTTTTTTGTCTTCAGTGACTTTTTCTTTTCCCTCCATATGAGATCTAAGGCAAGACTACTTTTTTTGAGACGTCTCCTTAGGCTAGAGACCTAATGCTATCATCTAAAAAACCCTGATCAGCCAATCAGGCTTACTGCAATAATCAAAAACATCTAAAACTGGTTTCACCTCCCTGTAGTCAAAAATTAATAGAGAGAAAAAAATACATAAATGAATCTATATCCAACGTTAGTCAAGATTTTGACTATTTCTGATTTTAGTAAACATAATTTCAACTGAGACTGTGAAAAGTTTCAAAAGTGATTCTATGTGGAGCATAATTAAGTACTGTGACAGCGGGCTGCTAAGTATCATTAGATTTTTCAGTTTAGCCTTACGTAAATACTGTTTGAAAACAGGCAAAAGCACAGATACACACAACTCTAGTACAAGACTCAAAACATTTTAAATCAAAGGAACATAGTGACTTATGACAGTGTTTAACTTTTTAATTAAGAGAGCAAAATAGAAGACAACACTATAGCCACTCAGCTGAAAATCAATAAAGTACTGATTAACTCAGATCAAAGCTGAAACTGAATAATAAACTGAAGTTACATTATTGACTGAACCAAGGCATAGAATTTGATGGTCTAATTCTACATGTTCAAAAATTATCTTAAAAATTCGCTGATAGGAGATAACTATAATTTTGTCTTCTTTGCTCACTCCTTTGTTTTTCCTCTGCAGTTTCAGCTGCTATGTCCAGTTATTTCAATAGCAAGTTATAAATGGTATTAAGATGTGCTTAGCCCTCCCTAATGTCTTTGCCTGATTATTGTCTAACCAGTGCAGACCTGAGATTTTAGGTCCTTATTTGGGCCTAATTCAATCCTTTCTTATGGTGAAAAGAAAGCAAAATTAGTCCTACCACTATTTTTCATAGCATATCATAGTCAATTGAAACAGTGAAACAGAAACCACTGGGCAATGATTTGGTGATACATGAATGGCAAACAGTGACTTTGCCTGACTTTGAGATGACCATATTTCTGAGACAAGAGAAGCCATACATATGTTATGCAGATCATTCTAAAAGAGTGCAAGCAAAATGGTTTCTACCACACTTATGTGCTCTGTATGTGACATATAATTAATAAAAATGGTTTTAGAACTTTTTTAAATAGAAGGAGGCAGTTTGAATGCAAATCTCATCTTAGTCTTGACAACAGTCATGTAAATACGTGGCTGATTAGCTGCAGAATGTTCGTACCTCCAGGGCAGTATGTACAACGGAGCTCGTATCACTCAAACCAAGGACATGCACATCTACTGAATGTAGTCCTTCACCTGCTTCAATGAGAAGCACTTCAATAGAGGTAAGTTATATAGCAACTTACTTAAACGGGCAAGTCTTTGTTACAGTGGCACAAATGATCATGGAACTAAGGAGAAATATAAGGAAGCATGTACACTGGATAACAGAATTAAATTCTTCATGAACGCTTCCTAATTTTTTAATGTTTAGTTATGGCTTGTTGATGTTCTCTATGCTAAAAAATACAAGTAAATATACATGAATGAAATTGCACCAACAATAGTACTGAATAGTGTTGATAACAGTAGTGCTTCAGGTAAGTTGCCAACACAGATGATCTTTCTACTGTCATTCCTGAGTCTGGGCTCTCTAGAAAACAGTGATCATACCTGAATTGTTAGCTCTCTAAGGAAATACAGACCCAAAAGATTGGCTGAAGGACCTGGCAC